CGAAAAGCTTCAGTGTGTTTCTCGGTTTGGGGGCGTTACTGCAATTAGCGTCCGGATTGCATGATTCCGGAGTGCAATATACAGCTGAGGCTACGCTCGCACATGTATCTATAAAACAGTCTCCGTAGAATTCGCACATGCCTAAGTCTCCGACGTCCTTGAAATGAAACCCCTTAGGATTGAAGCACTCAGTAATATCCAGTACGCCCTTAGGCCAGGCGACTTCTTCAGGCTCGTGGTCGGTGTTTATAGGAGGATCTTCGTAGATAGGTCGACGTATGGAAGCTCGCGTAAGCGCTCGAGCACACCAGGAAGCGACAAAACCGACTAAACCTTACGTGCCTTCAGCTAATGTACATGGTAGATACGTGTACCACTTCTAGTAACCCCACACTTGGCCTAATGACGACGATTTGGGGAGCTAAAAACGCTCCACATGCCAGCGCGTTTCTTCGCTTGGTGTCGTATTTTTTTACACATCCAGCGAGTAGGTGCAGTCCTCACGTATTTCTCAGCCTCCAATAGATCGACATCAGTAGACGTTTGATTGGGTGTTTCCTCCTCCTCTTTCTCCTCCGCAGAAGGTACAGCAGGATCCGCTTCGCTTTGTTCAGAGGTTGAGTCTGAAGCGTGGTCGGTAGCAGACCCAGGCCGAATTTCCGTGCCTACAAGGTCTGAGCAAACCTCGTCGGTAAGATCAATCACAGGAGCTGTGGCACCATACCCGGTCAGTAGCGTAGTTTCCTCGCTTGTAACATGTGTAATACACGAAGATTTGACTGTTGCATCGTGTTCTATCGGAGTTTCGGAAGTTTTGAGAGCTCTGAACCGGTACCCGACATTGCATTCAGCAGTGTGCATTGAGTCGCTTTCAATAGGAGCTTTGGAGCTCGGATTCTTAGTAAAATACCCTTCGTCGCACGCATCACGTAGCACACTTCTTGTAGCTTCCACAGTATCACTGACAGCGGCAATCAGCTCCTTACAAAGGGCAGTTGCCATGGTGGGGCGTCGGATGCACCCAAGCTTTAATTGATACGACCGAAGGGTCCGCCACTACACTTCGCTAAGATCCACGCAATTTCCGCGCACGTCTTGTCTTCGCCTCATGAAGTTCGTGCCTCTCCGGAGTCGAGGGACACCGGAAGTGCCGTCGATTGAGAGTACGACGGCGGATCTGTGGCCGCGTGGGTCGTCGATGACAAAGTGACGCGAGTAGTACTCGATCACATCACCCGGGAGAAGCTCCGGAGGCAGCTCAGAGGCGCTGAGGCCTGGCATTGTCAAGTGGCGGCTTCTGGGCGTCGGGAGCGATCTGCAGTCTCTAGCCCAGTTGGATCTGCTCTTTGAATGTCTTAAATGCGACACGTGCACAAAAGAAATTTTGTGTGGAGTTACTTAATCAAGGGCTACATTATCGTTACTTTGAGAGCCGCAACTTCAGCGTTACTTAGCTAAAAAAAACGGTTAAGGTACTTTTGGACAATAAAAAAGGCGACGATGCGTCCGTACTGTCAGGCGCTATGCGACTAAAACGGCCACTTAGACAGGTTCGTTTCTGTGTGTTTTGTGGTCAAATATTCTCGGTATTATTGTGTTGGTCAGATCCTGTGACGGGGTCACACAGCACCTTGCGCAAGAGGAAGTTATCTTCCGAGAGTATACAAACTCTCAGTGAACGGCAGTTCACAGGTCCCCTCTTTTATTAACGAGAGCGAAGTGACCCAAATAGGGTAGATTGTAAACTGAGTATATTTATAGGTAGGATAAGTTCGGGTTTAATACAAACTATAAGTTACCTATAGAAATGCAATGTCATTTAACCAATGGTTGGCTTTGAACGACTTTGGTACCTTGTACCAAATATCCCGGAGTATGACGTGTCATACTCCTGAAGTGTGAAGTGTCACACTTCATGTAACCAGGGTACACTTAGGGCTACGTACCCCGTTACATCCTCCCCCGCTTAGGTTCGGTTTACTGACCAATCAGAATGAAGAGGTGTTCGTCACAAACTCTCATTCTCAAAGTCGAGAACCATCGACTTGGCCGCGCGAGCGCGGCGGAGGCTCACTTCACAGTTAGAGCCTCGAGCAGCAACCTGTGCGCTCTTCGTCAAGGTCTCCACTTCGACCGTTAACATGCCTCGTGGCACTGCTAAGAGCGGTGCTAAGACACGCTCCAAGGCTGCAGCCGGTAAGGCGCAGGCCAAGAGCACTAAGCCTCACGGCAAAGGCTCTGCACTCAAGGAGGCTACTCAGGTGGCCTCCGAGGCGATCGGTTCCTCGGGTGACGCGGCTGCGGACAAGCGCGCAAGCAGGCGCCGCAGTCCGTCGCCCTCGTCTTCAGACAACCGTCCGAACCCTCGGTTCGTAGAACGCGAGTTCAACTCGGGCAGTGAAGACGATGCCGAGTCCGAGAGCACTCAGGATGCTCCTGCGGGCTCTGTGGGAGGGCACCGCCCAGTGCCCAGTGAGCACAAAGAAGGCAGCGTGCAGTCGCCCGCTAGTGATCACGGTGATCACAGTCCCAGGACCTCTGTGCGCTCTGAGAGTCCGGCCGTTAAGGCTAAGGGCGCTCCCAAAGCCGGTGGCGATGAGGAAGAGAATCCTCGCAAACGTCTCTCGCTTGCCGAGGGTCTTGCGCGCGCTAAGGCCTCTAAAGCCGAAGGCGCCAAGCTCTCAAAGAAGCGTACCGCCTCTAAGTCTCCACTCCGCGAGGAGAAGGAGACTCGACGCTCCTATCAGAGTCTCTTCGGCTCCTCGGATGAAGAGGAGGAGAAGGAGGAAGAAGAGGAAGAGGAGGGTGCCGTTGTTGAGCCCCGGGAGGTCTCGAATGACCTCGACCAGCAGCAGGAGGAATTCCAAGCTGCCCAGCGTGTGCGTGGGGGTTCCGTGGCGGCACCCGTCAGCCAGGGAGCTGCCATCAACTCAAGAGGGTATTGGCCTCCCGAGGAGAGCTCTGGGGCTGACCTCTTCTTAGAGCTTCTCGTCGCTCCTCGTGGCCTTGTGGGCGGCCACACTTCTAGGGGCATCTATGAACGAGCCCTTGTTCAGAAAGAACAGTTGTTCGTCGACAACTTGGAGGCTGCTCGGTGTGTGCTTCTCGCGCCACACCGCATTCCCCTTAAGGACTTCACGACTTGTCGTAAGAAGCCCGAGACCCGGGGTGGTCTCTATCCTGTTTGGGGATACCCCTGGGTTATGCCCGAGAACTGTCCCACGTGGAGTTATTGTGAGGACATGTTCTGGGCGTGGGTGGAGACTCTCAAGTACTCGCCCACGGAGTTATGGGAACTCCATGAAGATCAGCAGCTGTCCCACATCCTGGACCAGCGTGATCTTCGTGTGAGGTTTGCCCACTTGATCAGCAAGCGTATGCTGCCAAGGGACATCCGGAAGCGCGCGGCTTCTAGCGCTCACGATGAGCGCGGGTACGGAATGTATTCATCGACCGTACCCCGTTCGGGTAAGAAGCCCCGGACTACTTATGAAGCTGCCGCCGCTTCTGTTCCTAGATTGCGACAGCCTTCGGGCAGTCAATCAGGAGCCGTTCAATCGGCTCCTACGAGCTCTCGGAGTGGGCATATCCCCTCCACTTCACGAGGAGCTGTCGCTTGCCGCGACACCGTTGCTCCTGGAGGATCCGCTCCACGTGGAAGTGTGCTTCTCCATTCCGGTCAAGCAGGGGCGGAGGTGCCCTCGTACGAGTACGAGTACTCGGCGCCTCCCGAGAGCCACTCTCGTCCGAGTGCTCCGACTGCGGGTCCGACACAGGACCCTGAGGTTGACCGCCTCCGTCAACGTGTCCTCGTGCTTGAGATTGCACTTGGCCTTGGGACTGGCGGTAATGCTGCCGCCCAGGCCGGGAATCAGGGCGAGCTTGCTCGTCTTGCGGGCCGCCTGGACCTGGTGGAGCGAGAGGTCGCGAGCCTGCACCTGCGGGTGGATCGCCGGGCCTCATCGTCCGATCTGGACGAGGCCTTTCGCATGATCCGACGGATCGAGGCTTTGTTGCCACGTCCGGAGCCGCCTGCGGCACACTTCCAGACGTACGCGTATGGTGCGTACCCGGCGTACTCAGCGTACTCGGCGTATGGTGCCGGGGTCCGTTCGTATGGAGCCCCTCCGGCGTACGGTCTTGACCGCAGCCTTGCCGTCCCGACCGAGACTTGGGTGCCTGCTCCGACGCCCTCGTCGACGACTGTGACCGGCCCTCGCTTCGAGGAGCTGGGTCAAGGGGGATCTGCGAGTCAGCAACCCCCTGCGGGTCAAAGTACCGCTTAAGACGTCCGACATAGAACGTCGGGTGCGTCGTCATTGACTTTGGAAGGTCGATGGTGTACGACGCACCATGTCTGGCCAGGACTGCAAAAGGTCCGATGAAGCGGTGCTTCAGTTTGTTGCTGCCGACAGAGCTAGCAGTGTCTAGAGGTAGGCTCCTCGTGTCTAGCAACACTAAGTCACCAACCTCAAATATACTTAAGTTTTCTCTTCCTTGTTTGTCTGAGTACTCCTTTTGTTTATCTTGGGCCGCTGCCATGGCATCGCGGACCCTGCTGACAATGTTCAGCTTGGTATCCATAAAGGATTCCACCTGTTTCCGCAGCAAAACTGGTCTCACATCCGAGACCTGGGAGGAAAGGGCTTTCCGAGCCTCTCCCCCACTTAGAATAGAGGGGTCAGTGTCTCCTCGAAGAGTGAGAGGCACGCTGGGGTGGCGGAAGCCGTTCAAGTAGAGCGGCGTGAGCCTCGTGGACGCGTGCACCGCGTTGTTGAGCGCAAACGCAACAACTGGAAGCTGCGTCGACCACGTAGGTGGTGCTGCTGCGCACACACTGCGCAGATTGTCTTCGAGCACTCGATTGACGCGCTCTGTTTGGCCGTCTGTCTGCGGATGGTCCGCAGTGGACATCTGCAGAGGAGTTCCCAGTAAAGGGAACAGCGTTTTCCAAAACGCAGCAGTGAACCGCGGGTCTCGGTCCGAGACAATCGTCTCCGGGAGACCGTGATAGCGGAACACGCCATCGACGAACAACCTTGCGGTTTGTTCGCCGGTATCATCAGTGACGGGAACCGAAGCAAGATGTCCCATCTTGCTCAGCCGACACACGAACACCAAAATTCAGGTGTTGCTGTGTCCGTCGGCGGGAAGCCCAAAGATGAAGTCAAGACTCATCGACTTCCAACAGTCAGCCGGTACGGGCAGGCTCTGGAGTGGAGCCGAAGAGTGCCCTGCGGGTTTGACCCGCTGACATGTTTCACATGTCTTGACGTATCGGGCGACCCACTTGTACATGTGGGTCTACCAGAAGGACTGAGAGACCGACAGAAAGGTCTTCTCGCGGCCCAAGTGGCCGCTGGAGGGCGCGTCATGCGCCTCCGCGAGGATGTCGAACTTCAGATCCTCGTCGTTGGGTACGACCACCCGTGGAGGATCAGTGGGCTCCACCCGATAATAGAGGAGGCCCTCCTTCAACTCATATCGGTGGAGCCGTGAGCGCTGTCGCGACGAGAGCCAGTCGGACTTCGCGCTCGTTCCGGCCTTAAGGAACTTGACGATAGGCGCGACAGCCTCATCGTCCCGATACGCCATGCGTATCCGATCATATAGATCCGATGTCACCCGCGTGATGTGGGCCAACTCATAGTCGGGACGCCGAGAGAGGGCGTCCGCAAGCACGTTGAGCTTGCCCGGCTTGTATTCGACGCGGAAGTTGTATTCCGCGAAGAAGGACAGCCACCTCGCCATCCTTTGTGAGAGGTGAGGCGAGTTAGTCGCCGTCCTCAAGGACGCGTGGTCTGTGTAGATCACAAAGGGCCTAGAGCCCAGAAGGTGAACACGGAACTTCACAAGGGCATATTTCATTGCCAGGAGCTCCTTGTCATGGACAGGGTAGCTCCGCTCGGCGGCTTTGAGCTGCCGGGACTGGAACGAGATGACTCGTTCCTGTCCAGCCGTGTCGTCCTGCAGCAATGCACACCCGATGGCGTAATCGGAGGCATTGCAGACGACGCTAAACGGCTTCGTCTCGTCCGGCAGAGCCAGGACAGGGGCCTCTTGGAGACTGGCCTTGATGCTGTCAAAAGCATCCTGGTGCTCTTGTTCCCAGCGCCAGTCGACGTCCTTCTGAAGGAGGCTCGACAAGGGCTTAGCGAAGCCCGCGTACCCAGCGCTGTACTTGTGAAGGTAGTTGGCCAAGCCCAACCACTTTTGAAGATCCTTCTGGGATCGGGGCGTCGGCCATGCTGCTATGGCCTTGACCTTGTCTGGGTCAGCCC